TGCGAAAGATGACTGTTGCATAAGCTTGTGTAATGTGCTCAGTTTCCGCAGAGCCTTTATTTGAACTTGGTGAAGCTCTTGGTGCTATAGTGTTCAAGTATGAAACAGTGTTTTTAATGATTTTGAAAATAAACCTTGTTGATATGGAAGCAGTATTGGACAAGTGGTGCGTTTTCACTTGTGTGCAGTCTCGTTGTTCCTGCCAAAAGTGGGGTTGGGAATCTTCCTTCCTGTACTGTATGTATTCCCAGAATACCCCCACAGGAGCTAAGATTAGATATGAAGACACACATATGCAGCGTACAGATGGAGGCCTAACACTTCAGCTCTCTATGAACAGAGCCGGGCGCCTGTTCCTTAACCATCATCTGCCAAGGCTCTCGCTGTGGCCTGCCTTGTAACACAGCAAACTCTGGATAAATCAAAGGCATCTGGCATAACTTCTGCAAAGAATAACAGGCAGAAGGCGCAAGCTCTTTCTCCCCCTGAAGCAGGGACGAATTGCTGCATTATGCATTATGCTTTCCTAAGACAGGTTTTAAGGGGTTGATTCAGACAGGCTCAGGTGGCCCATATTAGATGTTAGGTGTGAATCCACTGCAGAGTCTGCTGTCTTTCTGCTTACTTCACTATTTCTTTAGATTCACTGGTCTGTAATGAAAGTTTTGTAAACCCGGAAAGGGTTAAAACAAGAAGAGGTAATTCAGCCCATTTATAGTCCGTTTGTTAGGTAGGAACTCATGAACCAGGGATCTCATCCAGCTGTTTCTCAAACGATGTCGGGGTTTTAGATTCAAAAGCATGGCTGGGTAGCTTGTCCCAGAGTCCCACAGCCCATTGTTGTCATGACTGCCAGTCAGCAAAGATCAACCCACAAGAGAGCTAACCAGTGCCAGCAGCAGGTTAATAATAACAAGCGCCGCCACACATGTTAATCCATCAGCCCACGGTCTACCGTGCGGCACGCAGCGCTATTTAAGCCATCTAGACTCGCTGTATTGTTTCCTCTCCTAGAGAGCTCCTGCCACGCCTTGTTTGAAACTTCCTTTCACCTTTCAACCACGAACTTGCCTTACGTTTTGGATTGGACGTCTGTTTCAGTATCTCTCGGCTTTCGAACTACCTTTTGACTCTTGACTACAAACCCGCCTAACGTTCTGGATTGGACATCTGCTTCAGTATCTACGTTCTCCTTCGTCTGCATAGGATCCTCATACCTCATACCTTAAGAAGTGCCTCCTGTTCTCAGTTTGAAATGCGCTTCCACATAGTAATTGACTTGTGTTCCCTGGACCATGCTTCTGCCAAGCCCGGGCAAGACAGAACTCACAGCCCTCAGCTGCCTCAGAAACCAGGCCCATTCCCACTCGGAGGCGCATTCCACTCGGAGAAATTAGGACTCACTCGAGTGGATTATCCCAGCCTCCGTCGTCCGGTTAACGGGTCCTTCAATCATCAAACCCCACCATTTAAGCCCTGCATTGCCACTGGTGTGGTGCTGTGTCATTGAGCTGCTTCCAAGACTATGATAGCGCGCTTAGTCGTTCTGCATCACCCAAGTTTTCTCTGCCTGAATCTGCCTGAATTCCTCACAGCAGCTCAGCCTCCCTGTCTGCTCCTGCCCTGAACACTATGTTTGCTATCAGACCAGTCCTGCTCTCAGCACCGCTGTTGAGTCCATATTGAGTCCATGAGTCTATATCTCAGCCCCCACCCCCTTTCCCACCTCCGTTACTCTCTGCCCTGCCTCCGAGCTCCTCCAGCCTCCGGGAATCACCCAGCTCCTGTGTTTGGATGAGCAGGGTGTGGGCAAGACCCAGCTGACACTTGTCACTTCCAGCTGGCCACGTCATGACGGTTTCACTGGAGAGTTTGAAAAAGTCCACAGTGTTGCGTGTCTTGTCTCTTGTCTCTTGAAATATAAGAGAGACGTTATGAGAGACTACTAGAGATTGCAGGTCCAATCCAGGCCTGACCAATCAGAGATCGACATTCTCTTAACAGCATTGGCTGAGCACAAGGTTTTGTCACGGAGCGTCTTTCAGCACCCTATGCAGACAGCACAATCCGGAAGGGAGTGAGAAAACACAGGGACAAAGACTAGGATAGGGGCTGGAAGAAGAACAGGAGGTGTGTCCAAGGTGCGCTAGTGTTCTGGGGGGTGTGTTCCAAGGCAAACAAGTCCGAAGGGAGTACGTTAGAACCGTGGTTCTCAAACTTTTTGGACCAAGTACCACCCCTGATCAAACCAAAGCATCCAAGTGCCACCTACAAGTCATCTTCTCATAAGAACCCCAGAAATTCTCAATGACCAACATGAGCGCGCGTGTGCACACACACTCACAGACACGCATATAATAAATATTATAATAATAAACTTTTTTATATATATATTTCCTTTTAAGGTGGCTTCTCAAAGCGCTTTACAGAAAAAAACAGGAACAACAACAAATAAAAATAAACAATAAAAAAACACCATTTCAGTGAGAGGAGTGAGCCTGTTTAGTCGAGCAAAGCAGATGTGAATTCATTTTTCGAGCCTTGATACAATTCACAACAGAGTCTAACAGATTTTAAATCGTCAGGCATTTTCTTGACGGCCAAGCTCTCGCGGTGGATGTTGCAATGCGTCCATTCATTTCTGGAGCAACCTCTCTAATTCGTGCAACTACACCGCTGTGTCGGCTTGTCATCGCTCTAGCACCGTCTGTACAAACTCTGACGCATTTCATCCAGTCGAGGCCATTCTCTTCGATAAATTCATTCAGAAGCTGAAATATGTGCTCTCCTGTAGTTCCTGTGGGTAGCGGCTTACAGAACAGAAAGTCCTCATGGGACATACCCTCAAACTCGTATCTAACGTAAACGAGTGAATTGGCCAAATCGACTGCAGACTCATCTAATTGCAGTGAAAAGCATCTGCTCATCTTAACGCGCTCTATCAGCGTACTTTTGATATCATCCGCCATTTCAATAATTCTATGAGTGACTTTTTAAAATTATTTATTTAATTCGCGCGCGCTGTATCATAGTAGGTAGGCTGCCTACATAGGCTGCGTATTCGACACGTATTAAAATAGAAAATATGAAAACCTGTCCCGATTTTCCCGGGGTCATATGGGGACCAGCTGGCGGTGCTCCACAGTTTGAGAACCACTGCGTTAGAATATCCTGAGTAAGCCCATGTCCAAAGCCGGGTGATCCATCCTGACACGAACGACGAACGAGGTTAAAAGCCGGAGCAGGATCTGGGGAAGGGTCGGGGGGGAAAAAGAGGGTAACAGGACCAGGCACTCCCAGTCCCAGACCCAGATGGTCAGGACGCCGTTGTGAACCCTGTGCCGTCGAGCCCCTCCTGGACTCGCGGGTAGGCGGCCTTCCGGGCGTCCATCTTCCAAAGCTGAGCCCAGATTGGCAAGAATGTCTGGCCTTTATAAGACAGGGGTAGGAACCGAGGGCAGGTGCAGGAGTTCAAGAATACACAAGGAAGGGCTGGAGTGTCCTTAAGAGGGGATGGGTTACGATCGTGACAGGTTTAAGACAAATATGGTGTAAATGGGATTAATATGAGCAGTATGAAACTTTTTTTAACTGAATTCTTCCCACCTGCTTATGGAAAGCGGTGCACAGTAATTTTCATATGCCGAAAGTAGATTGTTATTTAAGTGCCTCAATGTGATGACACAGATTTCATTTTTGAAAGATGTGTGGTGATCGAGCTGAATTAAGGGTTACCTTAATATCCTGTCTCTGACTTTACAGGCCAGAACAGCTAGTGCACTTCACAGCGATAGGATCGGGTCATTACTCACCCCACTATACTGTATCTTTTCCGCCACCAAACAGGAATCTGACAGGAATCTGGTAGCACCATGCGTCACATCTGTGGTGACTGTGGTGTGTTTTCTCTTTTGCGAAACAGATAAGTGATGGTGAGGTGATCTTCCAGTTGCTTTACTTAAACTGGCACAGGTGGTTTCAAGTGGAGCTTATGAGCAATTCTTTTTCTGCTAACGTGAAAAGGCAAGAGCTCTGTCTCTTTAAAAGGAAGGAAGAAGGGTCTTTGTGGTAGCTGTATGGATATTTTATTCTGCTAGGTCAAGGCCGTGCCTTGTGATCCGACTCCACTGTGATGCGTTTTTCTAAGATCTGCACAGGAGAAATGAATGTCACTCTCAGTGAGTTACTGTACCTTCAGCAGGAAGCTTGCAGGTCGGAGCAAAAGGGTTACACATTTGCATACAGCAGTAGCTCAGTGGCCATTTGTGGCTCTTTGTGCAAATCACAACAGAAAAGCTGTGGGTGTTTCAATAAAAGAAGGATGGGAATCGAAAGGGTAGAATTGTGTATCTGGGCGATCGCAAACGGTAAGAACATAACAACACCAGGAACACTAGAGGAAGCCATTCGGGCTTTTTTCAGCCTGTATGGTCATTAGTGGCTAAATGATCTGAGGAAACCTGGCAGAATCCCTGGGAGTGGGAGGGATTTGTGATAAATCACAGATGTACTGTACAGTGAAACCAGAACAGGCATTTCGCAGGCGAGATCAGGCTCATCGAGGTGAGCTCACCCCCAGGGATCACTTACTTACACAATCGCTTTCCTTCAAAAGTCAGATCCAGTCGATTTCTTATTTTTCCTGTCCAGACCCAGTTGTAAAGATCTGGGTCGTAGAGGTTATCATTGTGGGAACATTTCATGCATAACTTAGCAAGGTAATAAAATGTTACAGCTTAATTGTACAATGTGTGGATTGAATGTCTCGAAAATGTAACTGCATCTGCAAACAGCAGCATTATCTGTAATTGACATTTGGAAGCAATCTTCGCCAAACACACACTTTATTCATTGCACAGCATGCATTCTGGCCTGCTGCTGTTCACCTGCTGCTCCCTAACTGGAATGAGCTCTGGTCTGACAGAGGGGAAGCCACTCCGGGAGTTTAAAACTGATTCAGCCTTACCCTTTCTCTTGTCCTCTTTTTCCATCTTCTCTAGGGCAGCAATGTTGTTGAAGATCAGGACCTCCTAGAAATCGGGATCCTAAACTCTGCACACAGACAGCGGCTTCTGCAGGCGATCCGGCTCCTTCCCAGGGTGAGTCCAGTCCTGGAGCAGAACCGGGCACCGTTCCAATCTTGGACACACGTGCACACGGACACATGGATATACTGAATGGACATACAGCCACATGGCAAAAGAGCCATTCTGAGAACAGCTGGCTAGTGCTGAGCTAATGACACTGCAACCAAGATACCTTAAGAAAGATTTAATGAGGGGAAGTTAGAACGAGGGGTGTGCCCCTTTGTTCAACCACGTTTGTTCAACAGCGTGTACTGTGCAAGGATCAAATACCTGAAAACATACACAAGACACTGGGGGACAGTGGAAGGGCGCCCACAGAGTTTGCACACTTTTCCTTTGCACTGTACAAGAGTGTGCACTGTCGCAAGACAGACAGGCCTGAATCGTACGGGCAGCGAGGTCAAATGCACTCCCTTCACTGTGTTAGCTGATGGGATGTGGACATCTGGGAAAGCTGCCTTATTTTGGGGTCCATCTGAGAAATTAAAGTGCTGTATACTGTACAGTGCTTTGTATCAGATTATTGATCAGGTGGGAAGGTGCTGATCACAACTGCTATTGGGTTCTCTTTTCTTAGATGAGGAATGATGACTTTGGGAAAAAAGAGTGAGGTCACCGGCCACCCTAGGGAACACAAACAAACGGCAGTCTTGCAAGCATGAACACAGCGTTCTGTCTAGGGAAAACAGATTGATGTTTTAAAGCTGTGGTACTACAGAGAAGCCGTTGCCTCAGAGCAGTTGTTATTCATCTTTGTATTGGCTTGATTTTTGCAACTTCTTACTCAATGGGCTGCCTAACTGATACTAGACCCTGACAGCATATTGCACATACTGTACACTTCGGTGTCTACATTGGTTGCCTATAAAGTCTTGTATTCAATATGCGATCTTGTTACTGACAGTTTAAAGCTTTAAAGAATCAGGCTCCATCATACATCTCTGAACTCCACCATGCCTTCACTCAGCTGAGGCTGGCCCTGTGCTCACTGTACCGGGGACTAAATCTCTCTCGCAGGCTGTGACTTTGCTCTCGCTGCTCCTTTGTTGTGGAATGCCCTTCCTCAGACCCCGAGAGAGACAATTCCTTGACTCTCTTCAAATCCAAACTCAAAACTCAAATCTTTAGTAGGACCCTTGTCTTATTAACCTACTTTCCACTTGTATGAATCTGTATGTCCTTTCAATTTTGTTTCTGTACTTTACTTTTAATTGTCCTCAATAATAATAATAATAATAATAATAATAATAATAATAATAATAATAATAATAATGACCCCTGACTGCACGTACACAAACACTGGTACGTTCTGGTGTTTTTTTCCACTCCTCGGCTCTGACAGTGTGCAGCAGGGCTAATACATGTCAGGTTTAAACAGCCTCTCAGGAATAGATATTTAGAGTAGAATTTTTCTCCTACCTCAGCGTTTTTTCTCCTAGGCTAGATAACATATTCAAAGACAGCCATAAAAAACAGAACATCATTTTCTCTCTGTCTGTCTCCCTCTCGGTGTCTCTCTCCCTCTCTTACTCTCTTTGGTCTGCATGAACAAAATGATGTGAATCGCCTCTATTATCTCTTTTTGAGATGATGAAACTACATATGAAACCTCTGCAGTTCAGGAGTCTGACAGAGAAGTGTTACATTAAAGCACATTAAAAATGTGAAAGTAGAGTGGGAAGCACAGTTTCTGTATCAGAACGAACACCAGATCTGTAGTGATGCAGGGATGGTTTTCTCTCGCCTTAGATTTAAGATTTCCTTATATTGTGTTAATATTTCCCAAACACTTTTTGTGTTTGCGTTGCATCGTCTGGCAGTAAAGATCAAATTAAGTGTGATTTTTTAAAAGAGGGCAGCCATTGTGGTTGTTAGCAGTTAATTGATCCCAGGATCTCATCCTGCTGTTCATCTGGTTCACCTTCCTTCATCTGAAAGAAACCATGGTATCGGCTTCAACTACACAGCTGGTTCCACGCTCCCACCACCCTTTGTGTAAGGAAGTAGCCTCCTATACTCAGATATAATTTGTGAAATGCAGAAGTGTGGATCTGAGCCCCAGTGTGATTTGTTAAATAAGGCACTGTCCTGCAGTGCCCTTCCATTTTCAAAAAGATGACCTAGGTGTCCTTGCTTTAGCATGGTGATTAAAAAGGAAATAAATCTTAATGCATTTCTCTCAAGCGATCGTCTGCTGAGAGAATGTCTTCGTTCAGCGTTCTGTCATGTTTCGCCTCATTCGGCCTCTTTAAATAGCATTTCCCTCCACATGTGCAGCGCTGAGAGCTGAGAGTTTTACTACAGAAGGCTGTGACTCCGTGTTCGCTCCCGACCTGCCCAGCAGGACTGGCTGTGATGTACTGTGGACAGGATGAGGGGCAGGGTGGGGCTTGTGACCGCAGTGGACTTCGACGTGCAGACCTGCCTTGTTCAGTCAGGTGGATCTCCATCTCTGTTTGCCTGGCCATTCAGCCAGGGGCCTGGGAGTCATTAAGACCTCCTGTGCTCCTCCTTGCAGGTGAGACCGGTAGGCTACGATGGGAACAACCCCACCTCAGTGGCGGAGTGGCTGGAGTCCCTGGAGCTGGGCGACTACACCAAGGCCTTCCTGATCAACGGCTACACGTCCATGGACCTGGTGAAGAAGATCTGGGAGATTGAGCTCATTAACGTAAGTGGTGCGAAGCAGCTGGGGACATGCCTGACACCTGAAACTCAGAGGCGTGTCTCTTACACGCTGTTCTGTTTGACCTGTGGTTGTGTTGCTGTCCTTATTCAGGGAAGTCTGTTCTCAACACAGTTCAGCTAGGATCGCACAGAGCAAGCTCGCGTTCTTTAAGAATCAGAAGAATAAGCTTGTTCGACAGATTCACCTTCTATCCCATATCCACTGCCTGCTGCAAATCGGAATGTTTTCTTCAAAAGCATAATCAAAACGGTGATTTCACTGTTCTGAAGCATGCAGCTTTCCCTATGTCTCGTTCTGTGCAGTGGAACGAAGACGGAGTGTGAGATGAAGTGGCTTTTGTTCCCTCTAGGTGGCACTAGAGAGGACGGCCGTGCTGTACTGCAGGATGCTTGAGGCGAGAAACTCTTTGCTGCAGATTGCCACCGCTGAGGCACAGAGCCTCAGTGAGAGAGAATGCTCTGCCCAGATTTGTCTAGATAAGAATTCCATTGCATGACCAGGAAGAAAAGCCTTGCGTCGTTGATGATTGTTGTACATGCAGTATGTATGAAGCCTTCAGCTTCTACATTGATGTAACACAGTGTGTCGAGCTGTCTAAATGAGTTCTGTGCTGGATTAGTTCGTGTCTGTGGGGTCCAGTTCATCCCTGTGCAATGGTTTGGGCAAGCTGAGAGGATGTTCCATAGACTGGAAAAGTGGCAGTGGCAGCCTGTATTTACAGCAGCAGGCTACCCAGTGCATTCTGAGACTGTGAAAGCTGATAACGTGAGGGTATTCTAAAAATGCATGGGCATGACTGAGGCTGAGTATTTCTGCGATCATTTATCCCACTCTCTTCCTAAATCAGACATCTGAGGTCCCTGTGGAATGGCCCTCATATATTTTGACACAAACAGAAATAGCCCCCCTGCATTGTTCATGCAGCCCGATTCAGATAAAATAGGTCAAAGCTTATATGGAGATGTGTTAACGTCACATGGTAATGGTTTATACCTTAGACATAATTGTAAATGAAACATTGTGGTTTGGGAGTTTGGCTGCTTTGTACAAAGTACTGTACATGTACAGTATATGCGGTATACTATACGCAGTTGTTTTTTATTCTGGCATTAAGTAACAAATTGAAATTGATGGCTAGAGGCTTAAATGTTATTGGGGAATGAATTATAGAAAGGTTACTGCAGATTGAGTAGAGCAGATTATTCTGACAAGCTTTAGCTATTAATTAGCTGTACATAATTCCTCTCCTCTTGCTGTGCTGGACCTCTTTAAAGCTGGAAATACAGACTGCAGGAATGCCCTTATAGGGCTGAGAAAAGAGATTTGATATGTTCTTCAAGAGCTACTGTACATACACTAAACACTGGTAAAGCTACATTGTACACCTTGTGTCACTGCCCAATCCTATTCTGTCATTGATATTTTTGGGACGTTTTAAAACAAACAGAAACACACACCGGCCTTTGATACTGGTGTATGTCCAGTGTGGGGCTTACTGTACCATAGCAAATATTTCATTCATTCATTTTCTAACCAGTTTATCCTGTACAGGGTCATGAGGGAGTCCGAGCCTATCCCAGCAACCTGTGGACGGGATGCCAGTCCATTGCAGAACACACACAGGAACACAGACACTCACACACTCACACTAGAACCAATTCTTCCGGAAGTCAGTTAACCTGCCAGCCTGTCGTTGGACTGTGGGAGGAATCTGAAGCACCTGGAGGAAACCGGAGCTCTGTGGCTCAGGATCTGCGCCTGTGACTGGAAGGTTGCGGGTTCAAATCCCACAGCTGGCAGAGGAATCCTACTCCCTTGGGCCCCAGAGCGAGGCCCTTCACCCCAGCTGCTCCAGGGGCGCCGTACAATGGCTGACCCTGCGCTCTGACCCCCAGCTTCTCTCCCTGTCTGTGTCTCCATGGAGAAAAGCTGGGGTATGCGAAAAGATGAATTCCTAATGCAAGAAATTGTATATGGCTAATAAAGAAACATTATCATTATTATTATTACCCACACAAACATACGAACTCCACACACACAGTACCCTAGGGATTGAACCCAGTGCCCCAGCGCTGTGAGGTGTGCCGCCCTCCATAGCAAATATTACATGTTATTTTCTGTGCTGTTTCTTTGCAGTTATTTTTGCAAGCAGACAATCAAAGAAAGACAAGGCAATATTTCTCCGTTCATGGAAAACTAAATTCCATGGATCCCTTAGGTTACTCTGCAGAAAAAAGAGCATTGCATTCCCTTACTTAAAAGACATCCAGTTAATACATGCAGATGCCTTAGGCAACAGATGCTACAGAGACAGTTACAATGAAACACAAAGCTCAATCTGTTGCGATTTAAAATAGTATCAATTATGTTAGCCTGATTTTCCATAGCTTCAGTAGAGCTTTTCATAGCTCTAGTATGATGGAGTACATACTAGAGGTTCTTAGAAACAGATCCTTAAGCTGCAGAAGGTGATACAGTTTGACTGCTGTGTTGTATTTCCCAAACAATAGGTAAACCAGGGTCAGAAATGCTGAACTCGATACATTTCATTGAAAATTAAATATATAAATGCATTTTTCAAAAATGATCATGGTCAAAGCTGTAATAAGATATTGTTCCACTAGATGGTTCTAGTGTTTCTTAGATTCATTTTTTTTTAAAGAAAGAATGCAAATTGGGAAAGAGAGAAAACGCTGTGTGAGTGTTCTGAAAACCACTTCATCTTTCATTACTGGAGGGTTGCGCTTTTATTTCTGTGTTACAGACATGTAACGGAGGCTTAATTTCAATTGGATGGCACAATGGCATGAAAGTCAGTGCTCGCTTCTCACAGGGCCCCGGGTTCAATTTCAGACTGAGGCATGTTCTGGATAGAGTTAGAATAATCCTTGTGTCCATGTGGGTTTTCTCCAGACGATCCAGTTGCTTCCAAACCCCTGCATGCTGTCTGGGTTAATTATAGTTAAAGAAATTAATTGTCTGTGTGTATACCCTGTAATCCTGTCCAAGGAGCAGTCCTGCATTGTGCCCTATGTTAAACTGGTAAGAGAGTGATAAACAACCAGGAATGTGAAACTGATATTGGATAGAAGTTCTTCAATCTAATAACTCAAGATTTATAAAATAGTTCAGAAAGTCTGCAGAGGTACAGGCCTGCAGCCGAGAATGAAGTCTTTTTATTTTATTTTTGTTATTTATTATTTTATTTTTTAAATACACAGAACATCTTTTAACAGAAGAACGTTTTCAGATGAGAGGGGGCCGTTCAGCCCATGAAGCCAATTGGTAGTTATTAATCCAAAGATCTCATCCAGCTGTTTCTTGAAAAAAGACAGGGCACCGTCTTCAATCACATTGCTTGTTCCATACTCCCACCACTCTTGGTGTAAAGATGTGCCTTCTGTTCTTGGTATTAAACATTCCTCCATATCATAGTGACTTGGACTGATACCTGAGCGGCGACTGTTTTAGAAAATAAGGTCCATCACGAGGCTATGGCATCCCAGATTGAAGAAGATATAGAACAAAGGGTAATAAAGGAAAAGGTTAAATTGTTATTCTTTCAAAATCACAATGTATCTGAAAAGTATATGTTAGTGCTTTCTGGTTTCCCTTTGTCCTCTGGTGTGTGTTTCCCTTTTTGTATACTTCTTTATTCCGTTGGTCCCCTCTTAATCATTTCTGTTCAACAGTCAAAATGTAAAGTTACTTCAGTGTAGTTCATTGCTTTAAACTCCAGAGCAGCAATATCTTTTCTATAATGTGGAGAATAGAATTGCACTTTGTTTTTACTACCTGCATGCAAATCCCTGCACTTTAAATGTCATCAAACAGCCAGGTATTTGCCCAGTTATGAGTTTTATCTGTTCTAGCTTTGCACATGGATTAGCTTTAACACTGATTTTACAAATGAACATGGTCTGTTTGCTTTTATTTGGAGTTTTTTTTTAAGTAACACAAACTATATTATATCAAATTCTATTGTCAGTGTTTGTTTCAAAGTGAAAGTACTATCCTGTTAAGATGTTCTTCTCTCTGTAGGCAGATGACACGGTACTGTGTCTTCACTGAGGACAGATCAGGCTTATTGCATGATCGTGGCTTAGATTTCAAGCAGTTAATTCTATATCCTCATGTAATTAATTGAAGGATAATAATACAGCAGCACATGGCTCAGAATTACCTGCATACAGTATATATTTGGCATTTATTATCGTATTTGTGTTTATGGTAGTCATACAGACTATCGCCATGTGAACTCTCTACAGTGCCCAGATCTGTTTATTTCACTGCCTCTAGGTGCAGAATGCAGAAGATTCCAGTAGCTGTGTGGCAGTGTGTCAAGAAAAGAGTTTGGCAGATACAGAAACTATTCCGACATGAATAAACATGAATGCAGGCTTTTAATTATTTTTTGCCTGCAGTGTGAATGTGTTTCTGTGTTTTATAGAATTCCACAACAGGCAGTCACAGTGTTTTAATAATAATAATAATACTTATTGTATTTTTATAGGGCATTTCATCCTGAAGGTAGTGGAGGGTTTTACTTGAAGTTCCATAATGGGGAGAAATTGCTTCATCAGCTGAATTAAGGGGCCACATTCCGCAAGTCCACATGGAATTTAGTCAGGACACTGGGATCTGGGATAAACAACCCCTCCTCCTTCGAAGAAGCGGGTTGTCGGAGGTCCCGTCTTTCAGATGAGGGCCTGCTTATTGGGTCATTAAAAATCATGGAAGTTGCCCCGATCACCATTCTGAGACATTAGGTTGGAATTTCTGGTCTAGAGGAAATGGATCAGTCTGCCGGTGTTGATCTCATAACACCTTAAGAGGAGGCAACCTAATTCAAAAATCTCATCCAGCCTTCTCGCAGTCCTATTTGCATATCCTTTTCATTTTCATTTTTCCTCAGTTCTTTGTTTCACTATTAGAACGGTAGCTCTTTTCAATGGTCTTGACACTGTCTATACTGTATGTAA